GCAAGTATGATCAGACACCTAAAGATAGAAATCTAATGTGCTTCAAGGCAACAAAGCGCTTCAGACTTCTACAGTAATCTGCACGTCTGATTCTTGATGCCTCACCAGCTGGAGTATATATTCCTAGCAGAATACACAGGACCTCAAAATAACTATCAGTTCTAAATGCATAGGCACAGCCATTCCTACATCTTCACTTCTCCAAATGCATGAAATTCTAGTAAAAATGAAAGCTGCTTATTTAGCACTGCAGAATATCTGCCACCTTTTTTTAAAATGAGGAACTGTGAGGTGTGCACACTAGAATTACAGGTTTAAAAGCACTAATAGTTCATCAGCTCATAGGCAGTATACTGATATTATTATTAATTTTCTTTTGAGATTGGGGAAAAACAGCCTCTTTCGAATTGAGGAGACAATCCAGAATATTTTGAATTCAAACCTGGTAGACAGAAATGAATTTGCAGGACTTGTTACGTTCTTTACAATGTAAATGTATCTAGTAGAGTTTCCTCTAGGCAATTAGCAAATATCCCTAAAAGAAGAAAAAAACCTGCTCTAAAATCATGAACCATTTGATATTTATCCTATGAGTAGAAAAAAGATTTAGTAAGAATCATACGAAATTATGAAGATCCCTGTCAGCCAGTGTGGGCAGAGTGGAAGAGATCTGAGTTCAGAAATCCAGATAGTAAAACCACAGCAGCTAGACTGGGGCTGGATTACCAGCACTCCTTGCCCTACCTTCACAAGGACATTTGGACTAACTGGAGAAAAGCCTGCCTGCATTCACAATTCTCTATGGAACATAACCCAACTCCAATTAGAAAAACACTACAGTTTTGTTTGGCAAAAAAAGGTAAATAGATCTATTCCAGGATATTCACAGTTCTTAAAGCGGGTAACCTGGACCTCAGAGTAGATTTTTCATTTGCGGTCTGGCACAGCTAAAACAGCTGAGACTGCAAGCAGATGTGTTCAAAGACCGTGGAAAGAATACAGCTAGACAGGTGAATTTATTTCTCTTTGTTTGAATTCCAGAGGTCAATCACTTCTAAGAAAGATCAGTGAGGTTTTGCTTCATCATCCAGGTTCATTCAGTGTGTGCAGGTGGTGCTCCCTACTACAGCCTAATAACCTGTGAGGCTGGTGAGAACGCCTGGCACACTCTTCTCAGTGCTTCAAGTTTGAAAACATCAGTGTCACGTCTGCCCCTGAGTGGATCAACTAGTTGGGTTATCAAAGCTTTTAGAGCGCACCCCCTAACTGAGACATTACAAGCCTCTGACAAGAGCTGACTGGAGACAAAGTATGGAAAGGCATCCCCCTTTGCACGTCATCATTCTAAAAAAAGTATTAGACCATCTGACCTGGTGAGGGACAACATGAGGTGACACAGAGTTGACCTTGACAGTATACATGTGATGTCCAACCTACAGATACCACAGCCTGGTAGACAGAGTAGTGCAATGAGACATTAAAAGACGTGACAGACATGTTTATTGTGGCAGCATGACAGTCCCTTTTGCTGATTTGCCTCAGGATCTGTTCCATAACACATGGCTGCTAAAGGACTCAAAAACCCTGTGATGTCCTTTATGAACTGCACAGGGTGAGCTGCCATTTCTGCTCATTTATCTGAGGGCCGGAGTGGAAAAGCTAAAGAGCTGCACCTGAAAGAAACAGAAGAGAGGAAGTAAGGGAAAGGCAAGTTTGAAAGCCTGATCTCCAGAAGTTCTCATTAACAAGACACCATTGAAAACAATGCCAAAGAAGTGGGCTTCCTCAAGAAAAATGACAGGCTATAGCTAACATAACGAAGAAGGGAGGTCAGGTCACTGCACTGCAACAGCTAATCCCATCCAGTAATTTCCACAAAGAAATGCAAATGGTTGCCATTTACAGCATTCATCTTTGTGCTCAAAGTTGTGGCCCCAGAAGGAGAAGGTACAGAAATGGAAGTCAGGCAGGCATGCATGCAGCAGCTGCAAAAGATTTACGAGCAACTGGCAAGACTAAAAGAACCAAAGCAAATCAGGTGAAACCAAGGATGATTGAAAGCTCTTTGTATTTGGCTGAAATTGGACAACAACATCTCATGGGCTCCCAAGTTGACAGGCAAGCTGTGGTCATGGCAGATGCAGATGCCTGACAGCTTTCAAGGAGACCTTGAGCAGTTCAAATCCCAGGCACACTTCAGCTGAGGAGTAGTAAACATCCAAGAGACAACTTCTTAATGCACTACAGATAGTTCATAATTGTCTGCATATGCTCTCAACTTGATATATAATAACAAGAGTTTGTGTTGTATCCACGTTATTTCCATGCATATAGTATATTCACTGACCAAGCTGAGCTGCTGACATGACAAATATTTAGTTCCCTGTTGATCACCAGAATCCCATGTCACATGTCACACTGTACTGTGAGTCCATCCTTATGCATTTGTATCAATTTACGAGAACTGAAATTGAAGACAGCCCATTAAAAAAGGCAAAGGTCCATCCTTTGCAAGACCTATGTGCAATCACATTTGAAATAACGTAGTTATTACATGCTTAATGTGGACCATTAGTTCTTTTGCCAGGGACAGCGTTTTTCAGCGCTTTACATTGTACCCACAGCAGACAGTCATGTAAAAAGTCATACTTATTTAAGTATGTATTTTCCTCCAATAACATGGCTCATCTCGAGCATACAGTTCCAAATACAGGGGTGCATTTCGCTTCTGTGAGACAATGCAAGAAACCGAAGACTCTGCTTGACAGGACCCTGGACAGCCTAATTTAAAGCTTTGCTTTCAAAAGAAGGTTGGATAAGACTATTTCCAGAGGTCCGTGCCCACGTAGACTTCCACGATTATATGATTCTGATACCATGGTTCTCACACTCTCAGAACAAATATCATTCAGTGCCTCTCAAAACGCACTCTCATTTCTAATTTTCCAAAATGGCAATTTAAATGTTGCATTTTTTTGAGTATGCATATTTGTAAGTTATTCATCAGAAATTTTCCTTTTTCTGATAAAGACAATTATTATCATGCTTAATAACATCTAAGAGACTGTCAAATACACAAAGAGGGTTCATGATAAAAAATTTCTATAGAGAAAGAAAATGAAGGATGAAGTAAAATTAAAGTTTTACTGAACTCATAGCTGAATGTATCGACTTTTCTCCTTTTTCCCCACTGTTATTAACAAAAGTTGTAACTGAGAGATTATGATGGTTTTAAAGTTGACAAGAGTCCCTTTTTCAAAATTTTGAACCAATTAACTGTGTAATGTTATGTACTAAGAGTCTGATTAACATCTGATTCAGAGTCCCATATATTCCACCATTGTCGTGGTTTAACCTCAGTCGGCAGCTAAGCACCCCGCAGCCGCTCGCTCACTCCCCCCCACTCCGGTGGGATGGGGGAGAGAATTGGAAAAGCGTGAGAAAAATTCGTGGGTTGAGATAAAAACAGTTTAATAATTGAAATAAAATGATAATAATAATATGATAATAGTAACAATAATAATACACAAAGCAAGTGATGCACAGTACAATTGCTCACCACCCGCAGACTGATGCCCAGCCAGTCTCCGAGCAGCGGCCCCCCCCTGGGCCAGCTTTCCCCAGTTTATGTACTGAGCATGACGTCACATGGTATGGAATGTCCCTTTGGCCAGTTTGGCTGTGCCCCCTCCCAGCTTCTTGTGCACCTCCAGCCTTCTCAGTTGGTAGAACATGGAAAACTAAAAAGTCCTTGGCTAGTGTAAGCACTACCTAGCAATAACTAAAACATCGGTGCATTATCAACTTTGTTCTCATCCTAAATCCAAAACACAGCACTGTACCAGCTGCTAGGAAGGAAATTAACTCTAACCCAGCCGAAACCAGGACAACCATTTAATACATTTCATTACATAAACGTCACCATTTAATGTGTGCGCTGTATTTGGTCTTTCCGTTACATACATACAGCACCTAGCACAGTAGGAGCACGTTGGAATTACTGAAATAAGAACAGTAAGTCATCATATGTTTCAGCTTCTAAAATTATTCTTGGTAACAAGTCTCAGACAGAAAATCTATTCTTAGATGACTGGCAACTCCTATTCTCTCAGGTTGCAGAGAAGAGGATACTCTGTTGGAAAAAAAATCACGAGCTCGAATACTGAAATGAACAAAAATCACTAGGTATCACACTGCATTTTAATATTCCGGCACTGACAGAATAAAACCTGCAATAAAATAAGGTATTTCTATTGTAAGTAAAGATTATCTTGCTTGTCATCTACAGTTCTTCTGGTAATGTCATTTTCATAATGATGCCCCAGAGGACAAACCAAAAATGATAAAACACATAACAAAACAAAAACAAGATTCACCTATCAGATGACTTTTTAATACTACTATGTACAGAGCATTTTAGGAGAAATAACTGGAAGCAGGAGATGTACTGTACTTCTTCCATACCTTCAATTATTCTTTTAACTCACAATAGCTTATTTTATTTATTGCCTCATTTTTTAAAGTCTTTTATCCCATTTTTTTCTTATTGCTCACTGAGTGAGACAGAGATAGGCTTATTTACTTCCACTCCCTCAAGTAGGACATTACTGCTAATGGTTATTTATTTAATTAACTAATCAGTTTATTTAGACATAAGGAGAAAATAATTTAGACCCAAGATTCTTGCTTTTTACTAGTTATTGCCTCAGGATTTTTTTTTTCCAAGTAACATAAAAATGAAATCTAGATTTCCAAAAAGCAGGTGACCCTTTGACACACAGATGGTTCTACAATTTCCTCCATTTTCTTTCTACATTTTTGTACATTCTCTTTCATTTCTATATTCCTACAACAAAATCAAACTGAATGATTCCAGTTCCTTAACAGGGATTATGACATTTATTCTAACCGGACCTAAAAGAAGTATAACACAACTAGTTCCCCTTTTATCAGAGAAAAAGTGATCATTATTATTTCTAAATATAAATCAGCATACACACCTTTAGTGTTGACTGTTTTCGCTGTGACCTCTAGTTTCTCCAATGGTTCTGTTCCAATATTTTCTAACTTAATGATAAGCTGTTGGGTCTCTCCATTGTAAAGCTGGACAGACACATTAGTGGAGATTTCATCCCCCGAAGAAGGCTGAAGTGTATGAGCAGACCTACAAAATGTGACACACAGACAAACAAAATATCATGATAAACATGTTAAAAGCCTGTCCAAGTTACTATATTCTATTAACTGTTCTTTGAAGACTCAGAAGCTACTGCTCTGCAATCCTGAAGATAATAGATATCATTTTCCATTCTCATTTTAGCCAGGGTCATTTTTTATAACCATTGAGGATAAACATTCATATTTAATGCATAAGACAAGTCAGATTTCAAACAATATAAAATATGTATTCCTAACTGTGAAAGCTTGTTAAAAATTGCTGCAAAAACCGTAAGAAAGGGAAAAGAGCAAAAAAGCAAGAGCAGGTCATTAGAATGAATAAACTTGAAAAAAGCGGTATCTGATCCACGAAGTGTTTGAACACTAGGGTTGAGTAACAATGAGTATCAAGAGCTGAATGTAAAACACAAATAATAAAAAATAAAATTGAGGAGAATAAGAAGTTGAGTGCTACATAGGATTACCAGGGTGAGAGTCCTCTGCAAGATCCTGAAGTCCATACTGCTCTCTGATCAGCCCATAAAAATTACAAAAGTGTGAATGAAGTAAACTGGTAGAAGAAACCTCAGAAAAGATGAAACCTTTGCACTCACAAGTGAGGATACGTTATCTTACATTGTTAGGCATTCCCAAACTCCACCAACATATGATATACGCGGAATTAGGACAGAAACGCCTTTAATGACACATAAGCAGCACTAACTGTTTTACACAGCTGTTCACCCAGAAACTGCTTTCTTAAGGGATCATAAACAGTATCTGAAAGACGAGGTAAGATATACTTAGTAGAGCAATATATTGTAAAAATAACGTAAAGTTGAAACAAAAATTATTGTACGAGTTTTATGTGCCAGAGAAAATGCATGGGAATCTAAAACTTCAGAAACATGAGAATTTATTTAAATTAGTATCAAGCATTTCATTTTAAAGTAACAAATGTGTCAAACCAGTCAATTATTGAAATAGCAGATATGCACAGTGCTATGACAACACATCATGGATAAAGGAGAATTGAGCAGTAATGTTGACCTTTGCTGGGAAGAAGTAATACGGGAGTTCAGAGAATGCAGTTTTAGTGGACAGCAGAGGGCATAAACCTCATGGGAGAGGATCCTGGAAGAAACTCACATTGTGAAAGGTGAAACAGTGAATGCAAACGAACTCTTTAGAACGTGAATAAGGGAAGAAGGATTGCAGAACAAGACAGATGGGCAGAGGTTCAATTTCTGACTGTATTTTTCATGCTAATGCAAAGTAGTCAAAAGGGATCAAGGACACAAGGGCAAAAGCTACTGAGATTAATGACCAATAAATCTGTTGGGAAACCCAGGTTCAGTAACTTCTTTTGGCAGGTATTTCTGCTATCCTTCCTTTCTATCCTATCCTTCCTTAGCACAAGATAAGCAGCCTCCACAAACAAGAGCAGATTTTAGTCTTCCAGAATGCATCTATGACAACAAGTAATTAAAACACGTATTTTTTTATCATTTAAAATTTACTGTCATGTATTGTTATCATTGCAGCACTCAGAAATTTGGGCATTTGGAGTGACAGGACAGAAGAAATTTATTTTCTCCCCTCATATTTAGACAAAAGCATAAAGGAATTGCATACTAACAAACCGAACAAATGGTACTTTCAACTACTGTATAAATGCACATCTGAAACCTGAGCCCAAGCTAATTCAGCTTACACACCCTTTTCTGTAATACAGCTTCTTAAATTAAAAACTATCTCAATCCTTGTTTAAGTACTGCGTAGCCACCAGCTTTGTTCTGAACTTGCAAGATCTCAGGACTGAGGCTTGCCATGAGGATATTGGTAGATGAAAAATTAGATATGAGCCGGCAATGTGCGCTTGCAGCCAAGAAAGCCAATCGTATCCTGGGCTGCATCAAAAGAACTGTGGCCAGCAGGTCGAGGGAGGGGATTCTGCCCCTCTACTCCACTCTGGTGAGACCCCACCTGGAGTACTGCGTCCAGCTCTGGAGCCCTCAGCACAGGGAAGACATAGACCTGTTGGAGCGGGTCCAGAAGAGGGCCACAAAAATGGTCAGAGGGCTGGAACACCTCCCTTATGAAGAAAGGCTGAGAGAGTTGGGGTTGTTTGGCCTAGAGAAGAGAAGGCTCCAGGGAGACCTTACTGCAGCCTTTCAGTACTTAAAGGGGGCTTACAAGAAAGACGGAGAGACACATTTTAGCAGAGCCTGTAGTGACAGGACAAGGGGCAACAGTTTTAAACTGAAAGAGAGTAGATTTAGATTGGACAATTTAGTAAGAAATTTTTTATGATGAGGGTGGTGAGACACTGGAACAGGTTGCCCAGAGAAGCTGTGGATGCCCCATCATTGGCAGCATTCAAGGTTAGGTCGGATGGGGCTTCGAGCAACCTGATCTAGTGGAAGATGTCCCTGCCCGTGGGTTTGACTTTGGCAGCAATTTTTCTTCTGACCTGGTGGCTACGCCTATTGCTTTATTTCTGCTACCTCTGTTTGGTACAACCATAGTTTCATATAGATAGTAGTAACAAGCAGGTGTACTAGGTCGAATGAGATATTTATGACAAATACAGTGAGAGAAACACAAGTCTGGTATGATAGCAGAGGCATTGTGAAGTGGAGACACAGGATTCAGTGGAGAGGACTACTGGCGTGGGATGGTAAGAGATGGGGCACACGCTTAGCATCAGAGACCCCACACCTATTCACTAACAGTCAAAGAAATGCAGACCTGGAGCTGGACAAAAAGAGCTTTCAGGGGTAACAAAGAAAACAAGAATCTAACATACAAAAAAAGCACCACATATATTAAATTCAGTTGTAACGTGGAGCTTGAGTGAAAAAAAACCCAAGGCATAAAAATGTGTCAGCAAACAAAAATGGCCTCAAGTGTTTTCTAGAGTGAGAGGGGGAAAAAAAAATCAACATCATATTCCTCTCAGTGAAGGTCTCCAGATGCTGACAGCTAGCTGTACCACCAGACTGAAAAGGCCAATCTTAGGACCCAGAGGAGCAGTGGGAGGGTGAGCATAAGACCAGGATAATAGGTAGAAAATAGGAAGTGTGTGTATAACAATTTTAAGTGTATTTATTAGTGATTATTCTTGCGTATAGAGTATTTTTCTCTCTTTTTCTTTCTTCTGTAATAATTGCATCTGCATTAATAATGATTCCTGTATTGGACTGTTGAGATACAAACAGTAAATTCTTAGCTTTATACATTCCTCTTTGCTCATAAACAAGATTTTGAGCATAACAGTATTGCACAATTATTTCCGTATATTAGAAAATACTCATCAGGAAAGCAACCTATAATACCTGGCACACTGGCATGCAGCTTTTCTGCTTCTTGTGGAAATGACTGATATTTCTCCAAGTTCATCTATATTAGATGACTTTCATTATTTTATTTATAGATTTGTCATTTTCTTCCCTCAATTTTCTTACTCCATAGGCTTTTTCCATCAAGACTGTTTTACTCAGTATTGTAATATTTTTATATACTATATATATGATACATATAAATTTATGCATAATTATAAATACATATAATGATGAAAATACATACTAACAAAGTCATTCCCAAGCCACAGCAAGCTTCATTACAGCTCCTGCTAAGTTGAGCTTATTAAATTGACCTTCCATAACACAGATCAATAAAAAAAAAATTTACAGCTCTAACAAGGCGATATGGTATGCCTAGAAAGGCCTGGACTTACTCTTGCCAATATGACTATCACCCCAAAATTACTACTAGATCAATCAACTGTTGAAGAAATTATGAACAGCTCTATTTGACCTTTCAAACAAACCTTTTCCTACATACCAGCGGTTTCACCTACAAAGAAGCAAGGCAATAAATACAGTATCAAGATTATCTCAAATACTTCAAAAATAAATAAATTTGGTGACAAATTAAGAAAAGTCAGCTCAACACCAGTAGAAAGTTCCAGACAATCAGCTATAAAAACTTATGTGCTCTGTCAGGAGAAGACTCTCTCTTGAGAATAGAGCCCAACATCAAATGTTGGTAAGATGGGTGTCAACACAAATGTAGAAGTAAAGCAAATCAGCAAGATGCAAGGATAGAAACTGGATTCGGACTTTATCCTGCTGTCTCTAAATTCAGAATGTTCTTTCTTTCATTTCTTCACCATGTCTTTTAAAAATACATCATCCTCTGGAGAACCCAAAGGATAAAACGCTGTTCAAAGGAGTCGCATGAGGCAATTTGCTGGTATCACAGAGGCTGGGAAAAGGAGTAACTGATGGTAAACAGAGACCTCTCTGGCATACTGCATGGTAGCCAGGAGTGCTTCTGAATTCCCAGGGTGTTACAGGAACTGAGACTGAGTACTGAAACTAAAGCATCTGAAGAAACTAAGAGTAAATTTAACACCAATGAAAAAGTAAATACACACCAGTTCACAAAGAAAATCTTGTTAACGTTCCACACTATCAGCTGAATGTACATCCAAGAAGAGCAGCTATTATGCTCATTTAAGACTATTTGCAATTCCCTCTGTATTTCAAACCCATCACCTTCTTTAATACATTCATAACTTTGGCTAGCCAATATTAATTTTGATTACAGCTAAACCACATAGACTCCGTATCTAGCAGAATTTTTATAGGGAATTTACCAACATGTAACTCAATTGCAGTGTTTTATTATTTTGCTGTCTTCATCAGGATATTACTTTTGTATCTCTGTAATACAGTGCCATCAACACAGCCCATTCCACATTAGAAAAGTAGAATTCAGTATGGAAAAATCAGAACCAAACTGGTTCCTTTGCTTTACTAAGTAAACCATACTGAAGAACGCAATAAAAAAAAAAATTACATATATATACACATATATATCTCTGTGTCATACGATACTGATGGCCATCCTACTAAGGATCATAAATGGAGCTGAGATCTTCCAATCAATAGAACAATCCCTGTGGTACTTGAGCTATCAAGGCAGTAAGTAACAAAAGGCTGTTTCCTGATCCATAGCTAAAAGGACTATTAAAAAAAAAAAAGGGAAAACTGAAATTCCATATTTTTACAACTATTTGCAAAACAATAGATGGCTGGCAAGACTCTGAGATATAGTGATCAACATGCAGCTTAGTAGGTGAATACTCTTGAACTTTGAAAAGTTCCAAAAATCGAATTGAATCAGTGTCTTACCAGCCCTCTCTAAAATCGTGGAATTAGTCAGCCACATTCTTCATGGAAAAAAAAGCTAAAAAACACCTCACAAAAAACCCACCCTACTACTGTGATCTTTTTGGTGAGTGTATAAGGAAGTTATTTTAGTTGATTCTTCCTGTACCTCTTAAACATATTGTTTCTGTAGTACGGTATCAAGTTTGGTCCTCTCCTAAACAATGGAAATATTGATATATTGGAGCAAGTCCAGAAGAGGGTTATCAAAACAATTAGGAGGCTAGAGCACATGACATATGAGGACAAGTTCAAAGAGCTGGGTTTGCTCAGTTTGAAAGAAAGAAGAGGGGGTGATTTTTACTTTTGTGAGTGCGGTCAGACATGGGAACTGATTTCCCACAGCGATGATGGAAACACCGCCCATGGAGATAATTAAAATTTAACTAGATCATGTCCTGGGCAACCTGATCTAACATTTAAGTCATACCACTTGTCAAAGCTGGCCCTGCTTTGAGCAAGATCCTGGACCAGATGACCTCCAGAGGCACCCTTTCCAACCTACACTATTCCATGGATTACCTCTTTACTTCAAGATTTTATGAACATTTAGCCTTTAAAGGATTCAGTCTTTTAAAACTATGACTCTAATAATGAATAACCATTACACTCGCTCAGTTAATTAGATCTCAAAATATTTTCTATGAAATTCCACGGTTTCAAGCAGTAAAACAAAAAAATTAGATTTATATTGTAAAGTAAATAGCACAGATATAGTTTATGTCTTGTTTTACTGAAGCACCGATTACATACTCAGATGAAGGAGTTTTTATTCAACATGTGACTAACGCTTAAATACAACCAAATAAAATCATCATTTAATTCAGTTTCTCACCTTGGAAGGGAGGTACTGATTTGCAGCCTTGGCAAAGCTGGAATGACTTCAACAGTACAGCCATTGGTCTTCACTCCTGGCAGATTATCCAGAAGGCAATCACTGAAGACTCCAAAAACTGAAGTATGGTAACCTGATTTTTAGAAGAAAACACCAGTATGTTGTGAATTTTTCTGTTTCCTGAAAGGTCTAAAAGTACTAAGCTTACTAGTCAGGTCTTGCCAATATTTCTGCTACCCAAACCACCACCTTCTCTACAGAAGAATCTTCTCAGGACACAAAATACATAACAGGTTTTCAAATCCCCTAAATAACATTTATAACTACATGATGACATACAAACAACACACATGTACGCCTTTACAACATGTAAATTTAAAAAAATAAGAGTCCATGATTTCTACCACGCATTGCATAAGTTCTGTAGAATCCTTTACAAGATCAACATCACAAGTCATAGTACAGAGACCACCATTTTATACTACATCACCTAATCCACTGGTGCACATAGAACTTGTTACCCTTCAACATATGTTAACGGTTCCCTATTTCCTCTAAAAACTGTTTATAGGAACGAGTTTCAACTGTATCCAGAAGTGAAGGAAAAAAGAATCCTAAAGGAAATTAATTAGGAAAAAAAAAGTATATATGCATACATGCATACACACACAGACACCTGCCATGCAAGACCACAGCTTATCCTCTAAAAGTTCAATTTAGTAGGAAAGTACCTCTACACCAATTCCTTACCAGGCAATATATACAAGCTACACTGAAGGAAAAATTGATACATTGACAGATAAACAGCCACCAAGTACAGAAATCAACTCCTCCACTTGCAATACATTTTTAGTATGTGAAACTAAAAGCAGACAACTACAGCACAAATGTTCTGAATGCTTTGATGCTATTCTGTATTTACTGAAATAGTTTCTGGGGAAAAAAAAAATCAAATGAAGAATCGTTTTATGAGCAGACAGAAAAGCACTTAAGAAAAACTCAGTGAGAACAGAGTTTCTTCAAGTTCAAAGCCATCTTCTTTTGGTGTTTAGCTTTATTAAAATGGTTCTTTTCCTGTAATTCTGTATTCCAGGAACACACACCTAAAATTGTGTGTTGGTAAGATGATTCAGTCCTACTACTTGTTGCATCTATCATCTTCACATATACCTCCTTTTCTAGGAGACTGATCTGCTCGTCTTCTACAAAAGCTCTTTAATTCTCTTTACTTACTACAAACACAATTTTATTTAGGCTTATTAATGAAATGATATCTCGACTGCAACAGACTACACACATTGGCTAAATTGTTTCTACAGAAGCAATCTGCAAAAATTTCTGTAATCTTACATGAACACAATTGATTAAGAAAAACGAACTGCAAGATTATCTTCTGCATTCCCATGAAAACGTTCAAGTAATCCTCCTCAGAAGCTTTCCAAATGAAAATATTAATAAAGGGGAGTTTGAGTTCATTATCCTTTTCCGCTCATACGTGAGATACTGTAAATATGTGTTCATTACTGCTGTTACAACCAAGCAATTTTTCAGGCTATGTTTTTTATGAAGTCTAGTATAGAAAACAGATTTCCTGTTTTGTTTTGTTTTTTCTTTTACTTACTGAGGAGAATTCAGAGTGCCAAATATATGTGTGTCATACAAACTTATGTAATCCACAGAGATGTAAAACACATGGCTGTTATGCTAGGAAGAGAATGACTAAAGACATCCCTTACCATTGACAGTGATCTGTCCAGTAGTTTGAGGAACACCCACAAGAGTTACCGGATAGAGACCAGATTCTGCAGGTAGAGAAAGAGCTGCAGGAAGAGATTCGAATTCTACTCCTGTTGTCAAGAGACCCTGAAAAAGTCATATTACATAGATAAATGCCTTTATGATATACACTTACATTTTTATGATATATACTTATATTTTAATCCCTCGTGTTACATCACCCAAACTTTTACGATTTATTCCAATTTCCTCATTGCAGTTATTTTGGCTTTTAAGTTCCAGTGACTGAACCATGCATCTTGAATTATGACAAGATTTGCGTTCAACACTGAAACGTGTTTCAGGATCTGAGGGGGGAACGATGTATGAAAAACTAATAAAAATTTATACCCAAGCACAGTAAAAAGAATGAGTGATTTAATCTGCATGGTGTTGTTTTGTACCTACATTTAATTGTACCTGTGACCGTACTATGTATTTGCTTATATTTTGGACAGTGGAAATCAAACATCAATAGTGGCTCTTGCTTAGCTTTAATTAAAGTTCCTGGCCAGAAAACAGGAGGAAAAAATTTAGTATTTACAGATAATAAAGCAAGTCTAGCTTTACTATCCAACCTAAACATCTCAGTGAGTTGGAATAAGACATTCACTTTTCTAAATCGATCCTTTATCAAGCTTAGATGCCTGCAGTTAGGCTGTATGATTTACTCCCTTAGTGTATGTCAGAGAAATCTCTTAGCATCCTAAATTTAGAACATGGGACAAAATAAGAAATTAAGAAGAAAAAAAAAATATTTAACAAACTTTTAAACACAGCATTACTGTCCTTAGTAGATTGGGGGTTTTTTTAAGCTCGGTTAATGAATTTAAGATGCTTCAACACAGAATGTACTGTTACAAGTAAGAAATTTAATGCTGTAAAGCACATAAGTCTAAGTTACCAGCTGCTTTTCTAGACACATAGATTTTTATTTTTATTTTCTTAATAAAGATGCCATCCAAATATCTCCATCAAGTAATGCAGTAAGTACAACTGGATTAAACCTCAACTCCATGAGGATGCTTCACAGGAACTCAAAACTCTATGGAAGAGGTAGATACTATTTTTGCAAAGACATGAAAAAAATCATCATTTGAGCCACAGAAAACCACAAAGAGACTGAAGAATGAACAAGGAGTTTAAGAAGCAGCAACATTATCTGCAGAGTGCCAGAATACCAGCATTGTTTTCCTTCGAAAACATCTATGATTGCCTAGTTTTTAGTTCAATTGGGTTATGAATGGTGTGCCTCTAATGCTCATGTCAGCTGTAAAAGACAGACTAGCCCTCTTATGTTTCTAATTCTCAGTTAGAAATTAGGATAATTGATACTCGTATAACAAGTACTTAAAGAAATGCAAATGGCACCACCGAAATTACCCAGGCAATGACTGAAACTTGACCTGTCATATACATTAAGTTTTAATGGCCTGATTTGCATTGGGACTAACCACCAGCAAGTCTTTTTCAAGCAATTCCTAGATGTTAACCAAAATCAACACACCAGCAGTAAAAAACTGAACTAAATTAAAAGCCATTATCAGAATTTCTTCCCTCCTCAGAAGCCAGTGTGCCTTCTGGAAAATTAACAAACAACTGTCTTTTATGTACATGCTATGTAACGACTAAATAAATGCTTTGCACCTAGGATTTTTAACAGCAAAGTCCTAAACACACCGGAAGCTTAAGAAAGCAAACTGAACAGGTTTGTCAGGTTCTTGATTTCTCTTCTACTGCAGATCTGAAGTCATCAAGATTATAATATACCCAAAAGCTAAAAAAATCCTTCGTTCTAGCAATTGCTTCTTTGTAGACTTGACACTGTTGAGACAACACCTAATTCAATCAAAGCTATTCTGGCTTTGTGGAAAGGCGTGTTAGAGAGCTCTATCCTTCTCTAATATTGCACAAAATTCAATGTCATCATTTTGCTTGAGTTGTAAGAAAATACTGTATCAAACCCTCACTTTTACTGAATTTTAGTTTTCCTCCAGTTTCACACGGAGACTTCAGCTGTCAGAAACAATCCACAGAAAAGTAAGTAAAAACTAATTCTGTGTTATAATTGTCTTACATTCACCACCCAGTGTATCAGAGCACTGCCGTTTTTTGATTCCCACTTCATAAACGCAAGCTTGGTCACTACTTTTCAAATAGGTCCGTTTATGTAGCTGGGAGCTTAAGCAGGCCTTGTTTGCACTCTCGGTGAAATATTCCTTGCAATACTACAGAATAAAGAGATTAAAATAATTATTGCAATAACTAGACAATACAAACTGATTTTAGATATGATGCAACACAATTGATTGCATGTGACTGAATATGAATCCTTCCAGTGGGATTCACCCCACAGAAATGGGATGAACATTCACACTTTAATACTGACTTAGCCTCAGTCTTCATCATAATCATTCTGCTTTTGCTTTGGCTGAAGCAAATCTTAGAACATAAACAAAAGGTGACCCCATGCACCCTCCTAAACTCACTTTTAAAACAGGTACAGAAGGCTTTATAAGATTATTTCAGTCCCGAAAGCACTGAACTATCACTTGTCCAAATATTCAAATATATTTTAATTATTCAGGATTCACCTCAACTAAATACTTTCATCCAAGGACTTAAAGTCCTAAAAAATCAATGACAAAAAAAACCCTCCAGTGTCTTGTTTAGTACCAGCTATAGCAAATGCAAATAAACAGAGCTGACAGGGACCCCTTCTAACTCATCTTCCTACTCTGAAGCAGAGCCAACTCCACATTAACAATTCCCAGCATGTTTATCTAGGGAGTTTTGGAATTTCCCTCAGTGGTAGTCTCTAAAAGGGGATTAGGTAACTTAATGCAGTGGTTAAACTGGAAAGCCTTTCCAGTTCAAACTTTCTCCCAATACTACACTGAACTTACCTTGTAACAATTAATACACATCATTATTTTCCCATTCCTAGCTAACGCCCCAGAAGAGCCAGTATATCAAATGCCTATAAATATATACAAAAAAACTAAGAAATGACAACACCATTGCAAAACCATAGTCAGGTCACTTTTCTGAAATATGGGAAGCTCCTCATTAAGACATGGTCCTAATTAGCCCAGTGTTCCTTGGGGCAAGGGAGAGAGGGAAGCAATGGGTAAATACAGCTTTCTCCCATGTTCTTACTCCTCTGCTTCACATTTTTAGTCAAGCTGGATGTCAGGACATACATTCATACATTCATTTCACTTCTTGCAGTATAACCAGTCTTGTGCTCTTACTTAATACAAATTAGTCCCCCATCCCAGCAATTAGACATCCTCCACTATCAAGCTGCATGGAGGGGGTGCATGGGAAGACATTTCCCTGAAAGCCTTTTAGGTTCCTGTAAAGGAAAAAAAAACCTCAAGGGGGGCCATAAACCAGCACAGCCCTGAGAAATGCATCTAAAGTAGCCATGCATGCACATACACAGGCTGCCATATGACCCCAAAATTGCCAGTCAAAACCTCACAGCCCAGCCAGAGTTTTGATCTATGACACCAATAAATTTCCTCATTGCAGGGAACCGAGGCCTGGAATGGACCAGAGCCAAATAACCCTGAAGAAACTGAAGATCACAACTGTAGGGGAAAAAAATAGGGAAATGAACTGAGAAAAATTAAATAAATCAATGGTAATATTTTTAAGGGCTAATGGTCAAGGCTCAGGAAAAGCAATGATCACAACCCAGCTGTCAGAGAAAGCATCTTCTTCGCCAAAGGATTTGAAGCGAGTATGTTAACAGCAGACAAAATCCAGACAAAAATCAAGATAAATAGAGACAATAATAGACGAAAAGGCACGTGAATGCATCTGGAGTACAATCACCCAAAATATGCATGTGTTTATGGACAAGAAGGAAGAGTTACTAGTAAGAGAAATTGCTAGTATTAAAATGATTTAATAACAGTAGAGGAAAAAAATTGCTATATACAGTGTAGATTGTTCCCTAACCCCTGAAATTATATCAAAATGACACCCTTGGATCATGCTGATCACAAACACAGCATGCTGATCACAGATAACTGCTAAAGCAAAATAAGTACTCAGCACAATGTATTTTTCTTATAATGCATTAAAAATGCATTCTATTTTTTAACAACAAAAACCATGAAAAGAAAGAGCTTTTCTAGAGAACAAACGCAATGGAAATGCCAAAACACCTGCACTAAGCACATACTATGCCTGGAGTAGAAATAAAAGAACCTCAAGTGCATTATCACATGGAGGAGAATACAGCATTCATTTCTCTCATTATGAGAGCTTTACCATTCAGTAAAACTTCCAGTTTTTAAAAGCAAAGATATTAAGAAAACATAAAAACTCACCCAAATGGAAAAAAAAAAAAAACAATATAAACCTCAACTAGGCTTCGGAGTTCCAGACATAAACTGAAATCAAGATACTTACCCTTAAAACTTAACCCACACAAATAAGTTTTAAAAGACAATGACATATCTAGAATATCTGAAAGACATTTTCAATATTGGTATTTGCTGGATGGCAGAATTCAGCAATATTTGCCCAACACTGCCCTCTGGTGCCTAAAGAGATTTTAGATTAACAGTGACAATCAAATCAAGGCTGAAGTATTGTCATATCCTTTACCTAAACTTATCAGACACACAAAAAAAAAAAAAAGGAAGTAAGCGTTAGATTTCTTTTCCCTTGAGTCTTATACCTTATTTCAAGTAATACTATTTAGTAACCATTGCTCTTTCTGACCTTATAGGAAAAGTTTACCCATATACAAGGTTTCCTCCAGGGAATATATGAATCTCACACACACACACAAAATTTACATTGCCTTGTATTCTTATAAAACAATTTAAATTCTCTTAGAGTGAATATATATGCATGCTATTATCACAGCATGTCTTTCAATCACTTCAAACCTCGATTTAGTTTTAGAGAAACAAAGCAACTTGTATGTAAATGGTAGCATTTGGGGATGCTGTTAAACCAGCATGAGTACGTAACTGCTTTTTTTAGGCTTTACTTACCAATCCTGAAATGCAATCATTCTTTTTTTAAAGTAACACTGCCAAAGTTAGTTTTCACACTGAACATGCTTTACACAAAAACTGTCAAATATTTATTTAAAAGCAAATTTTCCCTACTATTTCTAGTAAGATTATTTTAGGCAGACCTAGAAAACACCGAACACAACCATTTTTATCCTTATTCCCCCTCACCTTTTTTGTGTACATTCTTGTCCAATATAGCTTCAATTAAATGTCATCTATCAGCAAGTAAATATTCTCTCAAGATGGCAGAAACAGTACAAAGATGTGAACTCACTAAAGAGTAGTTCATGGAAACAATTTAAAAGACCATAAGCTAAGTTATGGGACTGATTATACATAAAGATTTATCAAAATTTTAGATGGTATTTTTAAACATCAACATAGAGCTCTTGGCCAATAGTATAGTTTTGAGGTTTACAAAAAAAAATGTAACAGCCATTCTTATACTATCATTAATCAAAATACCACACTTAAATTGTCTTCAAATAAATACACGCTCCAAACAGAAGGAGAACTATAGAACAAAGACTTTCTTTTTGAATAATGTGCTTTTAGTACTATACACTACATTACCCCCATGTTTTGGGGTAGTATTTTTTAGTTTCTTGATATTATTCAATACAGTTTAAGTAAAGTGGTATAGACACTTATTTACAGCTGAACATCACATCTCCTGTTAACTTGGGCTCCACCACCAGGATAGCAAAAATATTCTGTCTAAGCCATTGCAGTCAAAGCTTCGTTAGGCTCATTTTTGTCTCTCTCTCACTCTGTTGATTTAAGGTACCTGCTAAGTTTTATTAAACCCTATGATCTCTCCTACTTCGCTTTATTGACTAAAATACACAGTTGTTGGACTTAATCACATCCATATTCCACGACTAAACATTTCATTTGTCATTTTACAATTACTATTGTAAACCTTTCAATGGATCAGCCTTCTAACTATATGGATAAAACAAAAACATGAAATAGAAAAAGACAGAAAAGTAATACAGAAATGGGATACACATGAAGAATAGGTATCTAAACAGAGTCCCAAATCATGAATATTCATGACAGAAAATAAAAAGCAAGAACAACAAAGATGGGCAAAGAGCTTTGAGAACAATAAAATAAAACAAAAAAAATCAGCTTTTCAGACAGTACAGGGCTTATCATCTGAGCAACACTGATCAAAGTCTTGTCTCCACAGTCTCATGTCAAGTCTAAAAATCCAATTTCTTTTACTTTTACTTAAGCATACCTCAATTAAACTACGTGTACTTAGCATGAATACTTCAAATGATGAAAAAAGCTAGAGAAGCCTTTCAATAAGGAAACATTCTCCTTAACAACTTGTGCGCAATACTAAGTTGTTTACCATCACAACTTTCAGCCATAACAAACAGGAAGACACATTAGGAAAAGTATCATGATAAAAAGTCTGGATCGATGCTTTCATTTAACATGAAACAAGTAAGCCAACAGAACAACAAATCACAAACTGAAAGACTTAGAAAATTAGAAAATTAGAAAAAAGGAGTAAGACTAGATTTCAGGACAGTTACATGTTGATGAATGGTGAACCACGAAAAGGGTAAAGAACAAAGGAAATCAAGCAATGGAGAACTCAAAGAAGAGCTGCCAGTCATTGGAAACAAGCTTGAATGAGTAGTCATACTGCAAAGGTAAGGTGCTGAGTCAGACAGAAGGAAAAAAGTTGTGGGACAAATGAGCTGAAACTGCCACTAAATGACAGAAAAGGATATGCTTGCTATGAAAATGATTCTACGAGACTAAATAATAGGAAAGAATGTGATACCTGATGAGAAACCAGACAACCAGGGGGCATGGGGACTGCAGGCATGAGTACATGTTAATAATAAACCCAAACATTTTAAAATATTAAACAATGCTTTGAATTATTAAAATAAAAACAAAAGAGTTTATTCTTGTGATAAAGTCATAACTATTCCCACATTCTAGAAAGCTTACAGATGAGACTGGAAAATCAGAACAATTTAGACTGGGAGGAAATGCTAGAGGTCCTCTTGCCCAGGCCACTGCTCAAAACAGGGCCAGCTTTGATGGTAGTTTCGGTTTTTCACTGTCCTATACACACAAGTTTTGAAGATTCCTAAAGATGGAGATCCCACGTTCTCTATGGGCAACCAGTTCCAGTGTATGATCACCCTCATGACTGGAAAAAGGGAATTTTTATTAGGAAAGTTTTCCATTGCTGCAACGTGTTCCCTGATTCTCACCCTCACACTGGGCACCTCTGGGAAGAGTCTGGCTCCGTTTTCACTACACCTTCCCATTTTGGGATCGAGGGAAGCAATAGGAATTACCCCAGTATTATTCTCTTCTACAAACTGAACAGATGCAGCTCTTTGAACCTGTCCTCATCTGTCATATGCTCCAGCCTGCCAATCATCTTGGTAATTCTGCTGGACTGATACCAGTATGTCAATATTTCTATTGCACGGGGAGCTCAAAACTGGCCTTGGTTTTGAAGACATTGTGTCTCAAATGCCAAATTGAGGGGAATAATTATTTTCCTCAACTTGCTGGCTACAGTCTTGATACCACAGACAAATCAAGCAAACTCAACTAATTTCTACCAATCAGATGACGTTAGCGCACAGCAGAATTTCTCAAAGCACTCTATTTATGGCGCACTGACTAAGGAATTACGTTAATCACTTCAATTATTTGTATCTAGTTTGCATGCCTGCTTCCTCTTATGCTTTCTGAAATTCAGTATTAATTCAAAGATAGAACTTTATCACTCTAACAGTAAAAAGAAGTATTCACGCTACTACAATTAATTTGCTCAGGGAATGGATGAAGTGCACATCTATGCAAATAGCTGTATTCTGAGTCCTTAAGTGTATGTAAGCACTCATAAGAAATTTCCCCATTAAGAAATTAAGAAATTATCCAAACCCAGTTTTTTAAATATATAATTACATCATTACTTACACAATACAAATTAGACTATAAATCAAAATGTTCTTAAATTAATTCCTATAGAGTCCTTTCTCATGCTCAGCTTTACAATTACTTTTTCTATTCATTACTAACAATTTGGAATACTTCTGTGAGGGTTAGATAAAATGCTGCTGAAGAAACCAGTGTGTTAGCTTCCAAGAATGAATTTTATTTTGCTATAAGCACAATCTTTGGGCATGTTCCTTTCCCATGGAAAAACACTTTATTATATGTGGCATATTATCAGTAATTTAGGTAAAATTGTTTGACTAGCCACTGCAGTAGACCTATCAATAAAAAAAGCAAACAAAAATCCTGAGCAAATAAATATATGCTGATTCACTTAGCCTAACAGAACAATGGGCTCTAAGAGACGGGATTTATTTTTTAAAGCAATATTAAAGGTAAAAATATTTAACATAAAGGATAACACTGGATTAGGATGGAGTGGAGATTAAGTTGGTTTGGCAGTTAGAGGACTTTTAACCTTTAAATGGATAACAAAACAAAAAAATCCTGTTAGTTGGCATAAGGGGGGGGGGAACAATTCCCTTTGTTTCAGGATACACTGCAAGCAGTCCACAAAATTAATATCAGATAGTTGACTTAAGTAGTAGATGGTTTGGGCTTGATCCTTCTAACCTTACATGCTTTTCTGGTATTTTAGCCTTTTTTTCCTCCCTCCCGATCATTTTAGCTTACAGTATTTTCAAATAACATATATCCTTGGGAACAGCAGATCTGTGAGCTGAAGTTTCTATTAAAAAACAAAGCTTCTCAGAACTAACTATTTTAATTCCTCAGATTTTTAAAAATGTGGTCAAAATGGGAATTTGAAAAGCTAGGATGAATGCAGATTTTTAAATTACAGGAGTAAGTATACACTAATTATTAGTTTTCGGGATATAATTATTACTTGAAAACCAGTATATGTAAATTATGTAGCATGAGTTCTAGTCAATGCAGAAAGGTACAGAATTGATTTACGGGTCAGTAACAGTAAACCATTTAAACACCCTGAGTGGCAGAGATTTTCATTTCAATACCTCATTACCAACAAATATGAGAAAATGGACAGTACTGCACTGTTAAACTGAGGTTACGCTGGCTTAAATGATTTTTTAAACTATTTGATTTACAGAAAACCATATTCGAAAGTTCAACTGAGAAATTTTTCAGAAAAAAATAATAAAAAGGGGAGACTTAGGAAGATACGTACCATGTTTTCTACTCGGAGCTCAAAAGGCATAGGGTTGTACACCATCAATTGAACTTCACATACATCTCCCTGGACCCACTGGAAATCTACACGAAATGATTACAGAATTAATGCAAGAATTACCTCATCACAGTGTTATAAAAAGGTAGCATCAGCTGAGCTGCCAGATTGCTATATTATCTTTATGTTCTAAATTAACATCTCTGTATAATCTTCACAGCCGAAGTCCTATTCAAGTGCATTGTGGGACACAAGCTATAAATCACAGGCAAAGCAACGGGTTAAAGGACCGGAAGCATTCATTAATACAGTAATAGTGCTCCAAAGACCCAGTGGGCCAATATTACATTGGCAAAATTAACTCAGGCATCAATTCAAAACAGTACCTTTAACGTTAAACACTTAAAGGCTCACATACTTGGAGTTAGGTACAGAGTACACGTCACCTTGGATAATTAAGACTCAGATAAAAAGCAACCAGATAAGGAATGAACACAACAGGAAGAAGGAAATTAAAAATAATGGAAACAAATCTTCATACAGACACAGCTGATGATATGGACTAAATAAAAGATCATTCTAAATTAAGAAGGAAACAACTGCTCACCAGCAAGATGCCACCTTAGTTTCCTCCCACTAATTTTCTTTGGGAAACAGTAAGTAGTTTGGGAGATGCTGTGGGAGGGGAAGATGACACTAGGATCTACAGATACAGATTTTTCTGAGGTTCACAAAATGGACACTTAAACGATAACACAAATTACTTAGTAACTTGTGAAAATACTTAGGAAAGACAATGAACAAAAATAGGTCAGGTAATAAGCTGTACTTTCAGTTTATATCTCACTACAAGTGGCAGAGGTTCAACTTTAAAGATACTTCACCCTGCCAAGTTTAAAATTTTGGGGTTTTTTTAATTTAAGGAGGTGAGAAGTTTATGGAAGTGGGGTCAGCAGCAGGGACACAAGTTCTGAGGAACCGCTCAATGCATAAAGAATATTTTACGTCGGCACTTCATAATCTTTGCAGCCTACAAGATCCTGTCTACCTTCCAAATTTCTCACAGTTAACCACATGCACCTGACGTTCAGACTTAAAACTGAATGTGACAAGATTCTCCATACAAGCTGAGGACCTGCAGTCCAAATAAACAAAAGGTGGTTTAACTGTATTTGTTAAATAAATCATGACTATAAGATAATCTATAACACACATGGATTAACTTTTACTAGTTTACTCAATAATGTTAACATACATTACTAACGCTTTTTTACTAGGATATTAGAAAGCATCTGGTAAAAAAAACAGGTTTATTAATATTAAGACTGTAATTCACAGTTGAAACCATCTGTACTCTAATTGTACATTCACAATCATTTACTACCTGATTACATTTTGCAAGCAGTATTAGAGAGCTCAAGGGAGATGTACTTAATGCAAATGTTTAACTCCAATTAATGCTAGTGGAAATTAAAAACATACATTCAGAGATATTAACAGGTTATATTACTATGAAACCTGAAAAGCAAAACCGTTGATTAAAACAAAATGTTCAAAAGCACAATTGTATGAGATGTTCTGTAAATTTCTTCTTATTTAATTGCTTATTAGTGTCCACAACGTCTTCTGCATTCTGCAGTCCCCAAAAGAATCAATTACTCGGCTGAAGAGGTATTGTACAGAGCTTCAAAGGTATATAAGCACCAAAGCCCCGTTATGGTTAACTATATCAACGTAGGCACTTGTAGTAGCCAAAATAGGTACTTCAGTCCTTGTAAATTACAGCAATTTCCACATTAGAAGAACTACCACAAGATTGGGATGCTTTTTCTGAAAACATTTTCAATGCAACCACATAAAAAGCGATTCTGAAGAAGTCAGTGACCAGAAAAACACATTGGAAACTTGATTTCATCTAAGTATTACTCTGAAGAAACGCAAACCACTGATTTGTCTGACACTTTAATCTTTCCTTCCAAAAATAAAGGATTCTAGGCTCATTTCTTAATTTTTACAGATACAATCCCTCCCTCAGTGTAGAATACTCTCTGAACTACCTCCTTACAACAGTACCGAAACCACGGGAAGCCGACACTAGCAGCACAAGCGGCAGTTGCCTGGTGCTGAGAGGAGTGCCAGGCTTGTGAGGTCCCCGCAGGGTGTCTGAGGGGGTTTCTGGGCCCACCACACCATTGGGCTGTGTGTGGGGAGGGACCGGCCGGCAAGGTGGCAGGTCTCATCAGAGGAGAGCAGCGGGTGGGAGCTCGGCGGTTTTTTTTGTCCCCGCAGCCAGGTCAAACCAGCCCCGGGGCAGCGCCAGCCACCAGGAGCGCCGCGAACAGGGTGTGCAAACAAGGCACGGGTGCCTGAGGAGAGAGAGGCACGGGCAGTACATACGGTGCGCAGGGAGCGGCGACTGACGGGAGCAGTGCCAGCAGTTCGCACGGGGAGGGCTGCGCGCTCTGCTAGAGATCAGGC